TTGGTCCAGCATCACACAGTTGTTGCAGATTTGTTGGCTGCACATCCATAACTTGGATCTCCTGCTCCACCACATCTGAAAGGTGCTCTAGTAGGTTGTAGGTTGTGGTGTTTAAATGATGCTCAGCTGGTACTTAAAAACATAAAACGACGCAAGAAAATGTTTGCATCATCATTGATGAGTCTGTTTGAATTGTAGCCTCGGTTTCCTGTTTTTAGCTGACAGCAGAGGCATCCAGTGTGGCCTTTTGCAGCTGCACCCTGTCTGCTTCAAGGTTCGATTGTGTTGTGTTCAGAGACGCTCTTCTGCAAACCTGTGTTTGTAACAAGGGGTTATTTGGGTTACTGTTGTCTTCTTTGCCTTCAGCTTAAGGGAGTCTGACCATTCTCATCTGAACTCTGGCATCAAGAAAGCATTTTCATCCAGACAACTGCTGATCCGTTCTCTGTAAGTCCTACAGATGATTGTGTGGGAAAATCCCAGTAGACCATTCCATTTAGCACCAACAACCATGTGACATTCAAAATCAGTCAAATCACCTTTTGTCTTTATTTTTTTTTTTTAGCTCTATTCGAATGTCAGGAGGTCATCCTGACTATGTCTACATTTTTAAATGTTCTGACCTTCTGCCATATTAATGGCTGATTAGATATTCACATTCAAACTGGTGCACCAAATGAGGTAGCCAGAGAGTTTACATCAATTGACTTTAAATGATTATATAATTTTTCCATGTACATCCTGCTCCATGAGCTGGAGAGAACACGGCTGGAAGAATATTATTAGATACTTCAAGACACCATATCAAGAGAGATATAAAGGCGCTCATATGCCATGCTGGAGACAATGTGGCTTGACTGTTGCTAATCATTTCCATGTCTTTTGGGACCGTCCCAGGTTAAAAGATTTCTGGATGGGTGTCCAGGCCTCCTTAAGCGCAGTCTTTAATGCTCAAATACCTCTAGATTTTAAGGTACATGAGTCTGGTGCCTTTTCTGGAACGTAGGAGTGAGATTAAGTTGGTGCAATTACTCTTGGTGGCAAGTAAGAAAACATTTACAAGAAGATGTTAAGCCCAGTTCAGCCTACCCTGGATGACTGGTTTGGGATCACTTTAGAGATATTTAGAATGGAAAAACTGACATATCAGTTAAGAAATCAAATTGTTCCAAATTTGGAACAAGTGGATCGTATTCATTACCCCCACAAGAGCTGGCTTTACTTGATCTCAGTGGTACTTGTACCTTTGTAACCTACTTATCTAACTGTTGACCATTCTTAATTCATTTATTTTATTTACTTATTTTTCTACTTTTTTTTCTCCATGGCAGCAGAACGGGCAATCCCCGAATGATAATAGTTCCATATAATTTGTTCTACCTTTATGTAATATGAATCCCCTCCTAGAGAACATGTGAACCTTTTAGAACTTTATTTATCAGGCTATTCTCCTAGTAATATCCATTAGAGGATAATATGCACCTGTCGATCACTGTGTTTGTCATTTGCTTCTCCAGGATTAACTCCAAAAACCTGGAAGGACTCTGTTTTCATGTCATTCACATATTGCTATGTTGATAGATTTTTCTATCAACATAACACAGAGCACACAGAAAATATTTCTGTGTAACTGTGTCATCTAGTAACTGTTTGATAACAGGCTTTTGTATTAAATTGGTTCTCATCTCTCACTAACTCTCTGGAATACCCTCAAGGAAGGTAGTGTGAGGATATAATGACAGAGGCGTGTAAAATCAGCCAAACAAACAAATATTTTACTCCCTCTTCATATAAGCAAATCAAAATAATGATTAAATGACAGCTACGGACACCACAGTGGTGTCATAGCTGCCATAGGAATTCCCCTTTGGGATAAAAACAAGAAGTATATCTTACTTGTAAGTTGCTGTTTAAAATTTGTCTAATTTGTAGTTTAGTTTATGTTTTGTTTGATAATCTCACTATCATATATAATACATGACATCTCTGTCTGCTAATAGTGTTCAACTCCTCCTACATGATCATGAGTTAAGCAAACAAACTTGGCACACAGATACATCGAAGTACATCTACTAAAGGTTCTCATCTACCATATCACATATTGTAGCGTTATTGCATTGCCTAGCAACCAACTACCAATCGTGTATGAGTTTATGTACCCACAATATCTTATAAAAGCAGAGTAGCATTTTAATTTCACGAGAGAGACATCTAATCTATATCCACAAAAGCTGACGTACGCATTGTTACTTCGTAATGCCATCGAGTTGCCCAGCAACCACTTAACAACAGACTAAAACGACAGTAGAGGAGGATCTCAGCAGTGCGTGGAATCCACAAAAATGTGCTAATTCCTCTAATTCATCATAGTATATACAGCACAAACAGACCAAACCATACTGTATTGTGACATCGTAATCGTAAAATATTATGTAGTGCTTTACAGTTGTGAAATTGGCTACAGGTTAGCAACATTTAGCACTAATATAACTTGTCAAAAATAATCACAGAACATTTTAAATGCAGGACTGAGACTAATGAAATAGTTTTTCTCATTTAAGATGGACAAAATAACAGAAGCACAAAATCCTTCTGATGATTCAATTTCAATGAACTGTAACTGTGTGTATATTAATTCCAGTCTTTTTGAATCACTGAATCGTTTTTCCATGTCTTGCATCTACTGAGTTCATGGGTGTGTTAAATGAGTATTGACGACTTTTTCACACTTTAAATCATTTGCAAACGGAAGCTCTGACTCATAAAGCACCTGAACCTGCAATGATGCAGCGGTGGAAAGTCCGGGAAGCGGAGACTGACCGTGAAACCGAGTTGAGTGACGCCAACAGCGGCTCGCCGGGAGTTGCGCGACCGTGCCGATCCGCGGCGCTATTCTGCGCTGCGCAAACCCCTTAGCAGGCCCTGTCCTTTTTGCCCGTCTCTCCCCTCGCCTTTCTCCTGTCTGTCTCTACAAGTCTGTTTTTCTTTCTCAGCAGACCACTCCTGCCAAGATCGAGGCAGAAAAGCAAAACGCATCCTAAATCGTCCGGGTTTCCCCCTCCCTCTCAAACGGAAAGAGGAGCTCACACCAAGTGTGTGTGACGGCAGAAAGCGTACATTAATCTGACTCTTCTTTGTTCTGCTGGCTCAGAAATGATCTTATCGGACTAAAGGGTGTATTTATTTAACATCAATAGTTGACCCACCCAATGTTTTTTTGACAGAGGAGGGGTTGCGAGTGCTTTTTTGCGGCATGTCGGTTGTAAATGCCGTTTCTCACATCGCCACCCGGTGACTGTGGAGAGGTGTGTGTATGTGTGTGTGTGTCTTTGTGGTTGGGGGGGGTATTTTTTCGTTTACACCTGAAACAATCCCCCGACCATCCTCCGTGTCCCCAGTCACATATCCTCCCCACAAATCTTCAAATCTGGAGATTTCCTCAGCCATAAAAAACAAACACACCACGGCAGAAATCTCGTATGTCTCCCCGGCCGAGTGAGCTGCAGTTGTTTTCAGCTCTCAACCCCTCCGTGTGACAGAGAAGAAAAGCCTTCCCTTCAGACGTGCACACAAAAAGAAAAACTGGAAGCAAAGCAGCACGGTCGACGGTTAAAGTGCCATTAAATGTTGTGGTTTTTGCTGTCAAGACGTACGTTTGGCACACACACACACACACACACCAGAGGATAAGAGAGCCTCAGTCCCCCTCCTGTCGTGGCAGAAACGCTCATAAGACAGTGACTTTGGGAGGCACAACATGTTACAGAAAATGTTACTGCCGTGACAAGACCCAAAGCAGCCTGCAGAAACCCCATCAGAGCACGGCAGAGGTGCGCTTTGTGGTTCAGTTTCTCCGTGACTGGGTGAACTTTATATCGAACATATATTAACACTTTGTGGCCTGTTTTTTTTTCCCTCCTCTCAGGCTGGAGGACTCCATTTTGAAGGGACCGGGTGTGCAGCCAGAGAGACTACACAGCAACTCGTCTCAGGAAAGGAAACCCTTCTGTTTTTCCGGGTAGACTGCTGCACCATTTCACAGCCTCTCAGACGTGGTGGTGGACATTTTTGTACATTTATTTATTTTTATTACTACTCGTCTTATCTCCAGGAGCATGTGAGCTTGCCCTCACATGCGGGGGTTGTGGTGGTGGTGGTGATGAAGAAGATGTCAGTTGTTGGCACAAGTTTGGCATATGGCATGTCATTGATGAAGGCAGCCCGCTTTGGGTTAATAATTGATGCTTGTAATTAAGAAGAGGGGCGGGGCGATTTTTTCTGAAGGTGTCGCGTGGTCGTCCGGTGCATTTTTTTGTTTTGTTTTGTTATGGGGTTTTTTGATGGCTGACAGCTCAGATTTTTCTCCTCTCTTTGTGTCTTTTTATATATCCTTTTTATTAAGGAGAAATTTACGGCCCCCTTCTGTGCTCCATGCTTTGGACCGGCTGGGGAGGGAGGCAGTGGTGACGACTGGCAGTGCGCACAGTAGAGATACTGACTTTCAAGGGGCAAGGCAGAGTCTGCGGGCAGGAAATAACCATGCAACAGAGCAAACATCCATAGACTGAGGAGGTGAGGGGGGATTATAAAGTTGTAGTTATAACAAAGCAAAGGGGGAGTGTCGCTGGAGGAGCACAACACGCCTGAATTTCTATTCCGGGGGCCGCTGGACCAGGCTTTTTAGCGCATGTTGAGAGGAGGAGGAGGGAGGAGGTGGAGGGAGGCTGTGGAGGGGGGGTAGAGAGTGAGTACGTTTCACAGGATCCAGGCCTAGTAGTATTGCCGCTGGGACTCTCCTCATCCGCTTTCAAAAAATTGGAAATTGACACATTTAAACGCCAAAATGAGCGGGGCGGGGGTCATTTTTGCGCTGGCCGACAGTGGAATGGTAAGATTCTCGCGACACATCCCGTGTCATGTGGCGTTTTCTGCGTGATTTTGCTGTTTGATGCACATAGCCTGCATCTGTCGGAGGGAAGCCCGTGGAAGTGTGTGTGAGTGTGTGTTCGTGAACTTGTTGTGTGTGTCGTGGTCTTCGCATGTTATGTATGTATGTGTCTTGTCTCTCGTGCATTCACTGAGCCACTGGAGAGCAGCGAACGACACGACACACACACACACACTCATGCAGCTGCACACAGACATACAAAAACACACAGATATATGTAGATGCAAACGCGCACACGCCTTTTGGGCACGCGCACGAACGGGTCCATTTTAATTCGCGTTTTCAGCGCCGGCGCGTGAACGCGGGCTTGATTTTCTTTTTTATTAATTATTTTTTCCCCCCAACACGACGGGATGTGATAATGTCACCGGGTTTATTGATACTGTAGCCATGCGTGCGAGTTTACAGGCTGACCTTATCGCGCTTGATGTCATTTTCATCATATCGCGATAACATTCCTAAAAGGATTTTGCAGCTCGACGGCGGTGTTTGCGCAGAATCCCCTCTTACAATGACACGTTATTATTTCGACCTTCCCGTCGTCAGTGAGTCTGTTTACGTTTTTTTTTTCTCCAAATTTTGACACCACGGGAAGGCAGGCTGTGTTGTCTTTTGCGGATCTCGCCTCTGTGAGCTCTGCCCTTCCTCTGCCACTTTTTTTTTTCAAATATCTCATTACTCATTACTGCTTGGGATAACTTCAGATAAGCTCTTAAGACGTTTAAGTGACTGAAAGATGTGCCGAAACAAAATTTTAAAAAATGTCACAAATAAATCAAAGAAAATAACAGCCTTGAAGAATCAGAATGGATTTTAATGTACAAGGCATCTCCCAAAGTCTTTATGTTTTGGTTTTCCATTTAATGAAAGAAGGCCCTTCATTGATTATTTTGTCTTCATGTTTCAGGGAGGAGTCATGCCAGCATGAGTGGGCCTTACACAGGCCCAGGAAGGGAGAGTCATCAGACCAGCTGCCCTTTGACCCCTGGGTGTGACCTCACCGTCCTCTCCTGCCCCTCCAGACGCCAGGATCACAGGCTTGGGCTAACCATGTCAGGAGGCACCTCCTCACTCAAACATGCTTCCTCTATCTATGGGTTCACGACGCAAAGGGACCACTCCTCCTCATCCTCCTCCTCGTCTTCGTACAGTCCTCTCAGGAGGCTCCAGCATCTCACCACCATGGTGAGCCAGCCTGACCTGGTCTTGCCGCTGCGGGAGCCAGAGAGGGGATGGGAGTGGGGGACACATAAGAAGAATAGGGAGAATATGGAGAGGGACTCCTGGGCTGATTGCACTGGCAGGGATCACTCTGGAACCCAGGTTACAAGCCGAGAGGCAACCGTTGTTAACATTGCTTCCAAAAAGAAACAACCTGAGGTCCAGACGGGAAGTAGAGACACACCGGCGCCTAATTATACTGATTCTGTCACTTCGGAGAAAAAGACAGAAAACTGTTTCTCAGGCCCACCCAGTCCGGCCTTCTCCCTCGATAGTAACAGTCCCTTTGCGAACAACTTACTCCACTTTGAATCCTCTTTGTTTGAGGATGACGACAATGACATGGAGCGGAGGACCGTGCCACCTCTCAGTGGCATTCAGGAGAAACGGGAGAAAGTGGGGAATGTACTTCAGTCCGCCTCCGGAGACGTAAACTTGCACTCCAAAGACTCTTCTCTGACGACAGCCAAAGTCGTCACCCGCTCCCAGTCCTCCGGTCAGCGCAGGAGATACTGGGATGGCTCAGAGGACGAGTGGGACAGCGACACCGAGTTACTGCTATTTGAGGATAGCCCCTCAAGGCATTCAATGGCAAGTTTTTCCCCTTCTAAGTTATCTCGTCATGAAACAGCAGCAGTTCAGAGGTTTTTAGAAGTAGCAACGGCTTTTGGGTCTAGCCAAAGGATTGCTGGCATTCACCTGGCTGGGAAATACTTTCTCCGGAGCTGGATTACAAAACTTTTTCCACACACAAACCTTGACCGTGACATGCAGTGGCTCACTGCTTGTAACCTGTCATAACAAATCACTGGTTATTTTAAATGCTGGCCTGATGCAGACAAACGCACAGCTCCACGGCTGTTGCCCTGCCTTTAACAAACCGCAGCTGTCTGTTTTTAAAAAGCAGCAAAGGATAATTTTCACCTCCGCCATAGGTGTTCAAGCTGAGGGCAGAACTGAAGGGAGGGCGTGGAGGGTGAAATATGATGCCAGCGGTGCCGATGGCTTACTGACGGCATGCTTAGCTACAGGGCCTGCAGTTTGAGCTGTAGCAGAGGACACACAACAAAGGCTATGGAGGCAAATTACTCAAAAGCTCTTATTTAGTTTTTGTTGCGATTTATAGTAAAAAGTGACAGTTCTTTTACAAATCCGATTTTAAAATACTCCTTAAAACTGCAGAACCTTTCTAAGAAGTTGCCTTTACCATCACAGTAGTCCAGTTGTACTCATCAGTATCAGTGTGAATTTTACATACTTCTACGATGCATATTTCCAAAGTGCTAAACAAACACTGAATAAATAGTCCACAGTTAACCCACTAAATCCCCGGTACCATTATAACCATCCTATAAAGCACACGATTGACTGTAGGTACCAGTTATCCTAAAATCTATGACAAAATGTCAAATTTCATATTCATATTAATATTAACTTTACTGTTTGCACTGTTTTACATGTTTTTATGATGGAAAGCCTCTGTGGGCTGCCTTCTTTAGGACACCGATAGGCTCACATAACAATCGATATAAATACAACACAGCGGATGTTTTCACTCAGTACGGTATATTTAAAGTAGGATACAAACAAAGTCTATTCCATCCTTTCACATGCACAAGTTCAAAAGCATGACCAAAAAATCCATTTGAAGGCACCGTTTGACCATCAACCAGCATCTGGACCCTGAAACTGAAGCATCTAAATGAAATACAGGCGTCATTCAAGGAGGTTCCTTCCTGCTATAAGGGAGTTTTTTTTCTTCCCACTGTCGCCAAGTGCCTGCTGATAGGGTGTTTTCTCTCTGTTATTCTAGCATCTTTACCTTTAGAGTATAAAGCACCACGAAAACAGCTGTTGTTGTCATTTGGTGCTTTATAAATAAAATGTTATTTAATTCCTACAGTGACCTATCAGAATGTCTTAAAAACCCATAAAAGCTTTTTGTTTGTAGACATGATGGGACATTGATGGCAGCCTCACAGGAAAGCCGTGTTCGTGAAAAATTCAGTTTAGTTTCCTGTAGTTTAAAGAGTTTTCCTCAACTCAAAGGAGGTATTTGAATTAAATAAATTATATAATACATCATGTGTTGTTACCTTTAGAAGTGCTGGTAAAAGGATTAAAAGGCTACTTTGGACAGAGCTGGGCTAGCTGTTATCAGTAGGCTTAGCTCTCATGTCCTGGCTTTACCCCTGTGAAACTGTCAGACATGTTGGATGGTTATTTAACTAATAAAATATTTGGCTAGTTGTAGTTATGGTATCTTAACCTTTTAGTAAAGTGACAATCTTAGGGGTTTTCATTTAAGTAGCAGTGGTTATTGAGCCTCTGAAGCTATTCCCATATTTTATATATTTGCAGCGATGTGAACTAGGTGTCAACAAAAACAAATAAACAAAAAATGCCATATTGAGTTCATGCTAATTTAAGCCAAGCCAAATCCTTCAGCTTCAAATTAAAAGCATTTAACGTTTAAAAAACACATGATGTCAATGAGTTGAGCTTTTAAAGTGGTCACTTTCTGCATTTCAGAAGAAACATTGGAGTATTTTGAAATTGAGATGCCATATCTATCTGCGGTGGTGAAGAGAGAGCTGAGTGTGAAAGCAATGCTGTTCATTTACTGGTCAGTTGTCGTTCCTACCCTTATTTACGCCCATCAGGTCTGGGTAATGACCGGAAGGCTGAGATCCCGGATTCAAGTGATGGGAATGAGTTTCCTCCAAACAATGTCTGGGCTTAACCTTAAAGATAGGGTAGGGAGTTCAGTCATTTAGGAGAAGAGCAAACAATCTGTAGCAGTGGTTTGGGCAGCTGACAAGGATCCCTTCTGGACACCTTCTAGGTGAGGCGTTCCAGTCATGTCCTAATGGGAGGAAGCCTCAAGGCAGGCCCAGGACACAGAGATTACATCTCTTGGCTGGCCTGGGAACATCTCTGTGTCACCCTGGTTGGAGACGATGGCTGGGCACAAAGAGGGCTGAACATCTCAGCTCATACTGATGTCCCAGATAACTTGCAGAAAATGGATGGATGTGTTTTGAAATATTGCAGGGAGTAATAAAACAAGAACAGCCACAGTGACCACAGTGTGGTTGGTTATCTCCACCAGGTAACCAAGTATTACTTTCACTATTCCCTGTTGTTCAAACTCATGCTGCATGCAGCTTAAAATCAGGGCACAGTTGGAATGCAGAATGATGGCAAAAGACAGGCTGCCTGTCAGCTTTATTCAAATGCCAGTAGTTTGTTTTTGCTGGCCAAGAAATCTGTGATCTATAGTGTAAAATCTGCATTTGCTGTTCCTACTATCACCCGCTGCAGTGATTCTCACACTGTGAGGTGTAGCGCCACGGCCGGATGGATGGGGATGACCAGGGGAGGGAAATATGACAAGAAATTCGATTCTTTTTCATTTTCAGTGATTTTTTTGTTTTTTGTTTTTCTCTCTTAGTCTAAAGTATGTCATGCCAGAAAAAGGTTGAGAACTAACACCCAGGCTTTTAGATTGACACCTTAAGTGAGCTTGTCTCCAGTGCTAACAGCTTTTCTGGTCACACAGCTCTCTCTGGAGCCCATAAAGCTTTATGAGACTTTATAGCCATACATCCTATAAAGTCTCATATGTGAGCACAGACTAATAAAAAAAACAACTTTGCAAACATTGCAAAATACAACTAGTGACAATTTCTGAATGCTATATCATTTTATTTCACAATAATCCAAAATAAAATGCGTAGAATACTTTTTAAAGTGAAATTCTTGGTCACAGAAATGAAGAAAATAACTTTTTCATTCAACACTCATTTTGAATTGAGTAAGGTATGAAAAGTTGTATCAGAAAAACAAAAATCAGTAGATGGAAGCAGAAATGTAAAATTTAATATAGTTATATTACAGGTCTTGCAGTCTCCCGTAGCAGTCGTAGCATTAAAGTGTTAGGCTTGTATCGGACTACTGATCATGCAATGTGGACACGGCGTCTTGGCCTTACAAGATACTCACGTGAAATGAGGCACTAATCTAATTTTTATTACCCCAAATTATTTTGTTGTGGTTATTTTTATTTATAAAAAGATTTGCATTGGTGCTTGTTGCATTTTGAATGCCTCTCGGTATATTTTAGGCTTAACCTAAATCATTAGACTCATCCGGGGCAGTAGGTCTAAAAAATGAGAAATATGCTCATGTTTTCAATTTTGTGGTACAACTTGTGATCTTTGCTCAATTCAGCATAAAAAGCTGAATGATAATAGCATTTTGTTTAATTCATTTTTTTTTTTTATTTTACTTTCTTTTTATTTCAACTAGCTTATACTGAGAGCTTTTTTAGTGTACCTGTCCCAAACTGCAGATACTGATTTAACTTTGTGATAAGAGAAGGGCAGTGAACATTTCAGGCTTTAATCTTTAATAATTTCTTATATATTCATGTTCAAACATGGACTCAGATTGTAAAAAATTATATCTATTTATAAAAAAATACATGTTTTATATAAGCTAAATTATGTCTAAATTTCAAACTGTGACATTTTCAAGAAAAATCAGAGCTGATTAAGCAGAAAAAATTCAAAAAAATTGATGACTTGAGATGCAATGACCCTTTATTTTTACACAGGGTTAAATCATAGCAGCTCCCAATGTCAGCCCTCTGGTCAGGCCTGCTACATGCCAGTCATAATTCAGGCCTGCTCATGTATCTCCAAGTTCAGCCTGGTTACATTTACACAAACAATCCAGCAGCTACAATTGGTACTGGGTTTTGGTGTTTCCATGCTGAGGTTTGTGTCACGGTTTGAACTGGGCATGATGACAAGTTAAAATTAGACCACAGAAAAGGATTTTGGAGGCCGTTGTTGGTCAGAAACTGAAACTTTTGGTTAAAATATAAAATGATAGTAAATCCTTTTCATATCTGTTTGTGTGAAATATTTGTACACTTACACAAGGTCATATTTTATCTTTGCTCTTGTCTGTTATATCTTCTGTACTGTTCTGTTAAGTGAAAATAATTCTTTTACTTATATTTCTCTCTTCATTTTTCTGTTGTCAGCCTCAGAGCAGCCTCAAGAAAAAGTCTTTGCCACCTGTGAAGTTTGTTGAGGGTGAAGTCGTTTGGGCAAAGTTCAGCCGGAGACCATGGTGGCCCTGCGAGGTGATTGTTGACCCCGTACAAGGAGTCTATCACAGAGCGAAAGGTGGGCCTGGAACATTGTTGACTTACTGTGATAACCCAAGCCGGTGCTTGGTAAATGAGTAGCTTATAATTGTTCTGTGCAATGGTTTGGTCTCTTAACTTCAGCTGGTGGTTACAGAACGACTCCGTGAGTCAATTAATGGTGATTAACAGCACAGACACAGCCTGACGTTGAGGCTGTTTGAGATATATTTGATTATTTTAACTTCTTATACTGGGGTTGCCAACTTAAAGTACAGGTTGCAGTGAGTGTGGGGATTTTGGGAGAAAATTATGAGGTGTGGTAATTTGGCTACACTGCAACTATGTGCTTCAGGAGAAAACTTTGCCACTTCTGTAAAGCCTGAACAATAATACCCTTAATAAATAGTGAAAGCCCAAATCTGCAGGTGGTGTTCTTTACAGAACAATTATACTGGTTTATGTTTTAATGGTTTCTAAACTAAGTTTAGCTAGGTTCCCCAGTCATACACGGTAGGTTAACTGGTGAATGTGACTGTGAATGATTGTCTCTCTGTTATATGGCCTGTTTATGCCCGCCGTTCTCACAATGACGACAAAAGTGACGTCACATCAACTGGCGCCGCTGCTGTCATGTCTGTTATTACTGCCACTTGAATCAGATATCAGTGCAGGACCTCAGACGTTCCCAGATTACATAGAGATGAAAAGGGGGAAAAATGTTGTGACTTCTCCTCATAAACCAGCACTGATGTGGGGATTTTGGCTGAGTGGCGACACTTATCGTTCGGGAGTAAACTGTAACAAGTGGTGATGTAAATGGGTTGGAGATATGCTGACGTTACTGTTCAAAGTGACCAATGTGGTGAGCATAAATTGGCCATTAGTCCTATAACAAACTGGCAGCCTGTCCAGGGTATATCCCGACTCTTTCCTAGTGACAGCCGGGTTAGGCTGCAGCTACAGCCACGACCCTGACTTGGTGAAGTGGAAGAAAATTGATGGATGTACACAGAAAATTATCTCCTTATGTGATGCCAGGATGATGCCTTCCTGCTTTCTCTGGACAAAATATGTTTTTTTCACATGAAGTACACTTAAAAGATTACTCTCAAATTCATGCTCTCTGACATGAAAAGACAATTATGTATGTGTGTAGTTCTGTACAGTTTCATAAATTGTGTTTTCAGTGTTACTAGGCTACCCATTTCCATATCAGAGGCATTCAAGCGGCAATAATAATTGGTGAATAAAAGCAACTGCTGTGTTTACTTACAGTAAAATAAAGATATCTGACATTATAAAGTTCAGGAATGAATTCGAGGGCTATGCGACTATGTATCGAGTGATGACTGCCTGAGGGTTTAGGGATATTGTCTTATTCTGTTATGTCCTTACTGTCCCTTACTGTAATTCTGTGTCTGGAATAATTGGTTTACAAATAATTAAAGAAGCTATCATTGTGCCAAGTGCATGCTCTCACTTTTGGGACGCTCATATGGATCCTGCTGCCAAATGTTATCTTAAGTGACGGATGACAGTCCTTTTCTACACTATGTTATCATTGGCTAGTTTTTCTTCACCTTTCACCATTTTATCAATGATGAACTATGATTGTATGCAGCTTTTTTAAAAGCTGTCATATATTGAGAACCTAAATGATTATGTTGGCTATGTGTTAGCCGCACATTAGTCTTTGTATACAAAGAATTGTTATTCACAAACAGTAACAATAACATTTCAAATTGCTCATTTATAGCAAATTACAATGAGTTTTTTTATTTATTTGGCGCGTTTCATTTCACGTAAACATAATGTGCCTAACATTAAAGATATAAATTAAAAACCTATGTAGGTGTCCTATGTCTTAAGGGAATAAAAACAAAAAAAACAAAGGAAAAAAAGCATGATTATTGAATTTTTTTTAATGGTTCTTGGAGTGTTTTTATGATTCTAAAGTCACAGCGGGCCTCCTGCTGCGCCTGTTGCACATTTTCTTTTAATTTTACAGTACCTCCATAATCTGCAGCATATATGGTACTTTCCTTTCCCACAAAGAAGAAGTTCCATATGGAGCCATTTTTTTTCAGTTGATAGCATTGTGGTCATTTAGCAATATGTCATGCTCATAGTTCTGACATAAAGACATCATGTATTTCCATCAGTTATGGGTTGTTAAGACTGCTGTCTTCTTATATTTTCAAGTTCCCTTTTCTTCAGGTGATGCACTGATCTGACTGGACTGAGAGTAATTTTTGTTGTTGTCTCAGAGCCTAGCGACCGGCCCTGTCGGCTCTACCATGTCAGGACGTTTGGGGAGCCCCAGGAGCTGGTTTGGGTGGAGGAAAAATCAACTCATACTTTCCATGGAGGCTTTGAATTTGAACAGCTCCTCCTACTACGGCGGAGGGGGAAACAAAGGGAGCAGAACAGCAAATACACCGTAAATACCATTTTATTAATAGCAGGACAACACTTGCATGCCTTGAGTTAAAAAAAGAACCTTCCTGGTAGATAACAAAGGAAAGCTTGCACGTCCAGAAATAAAAGACTTGCTAAGGCCAAACAGGTTATTTCTGTAAGCAGAAGTATGCGCAAAGATTGAGGAGTCTTTGCTTATCTTTCTCTAGATTGCTAAGCGGTTTAAGGAATCCTGGAAGTCCAGTGTGGCAGAAGCTGAATCCATTCTTCCTGAGAGACCCAAAATGGCGTCTTCCGTGTCTTTGTCCATAGCTGATGCCTTCCATGATGCTTCCCCACTGGAAAGAGAGAATAAGACCCATCAAAACTTTCTTCCTGTCACTTCATCTGTCTCCACCCATACTGAGACGTCACACATGACCAATGGATCCATTCCATCCCCAGTAATTACACCCCCTGTTACAACTCCAACAAAGCCAAGCACTTTAAAGAAATCTTCTGGAAAGAAGAAACAGAATGAAGCATCAAAGGATACAAAAAGTAAACACTCTAAAAAGACATTGAATAATAGTCCTGACAAATCGGATAGAGACAGTGAGGAGTGCCCGTACTCTGACCTTGAGTCAGTCCCTAAAATTTTGTGTCCTAAAGCACTTGAACGTCAGCCTAAGCTAGTTCCAACTCAGCCGTCTGTTGTGGTTGTCAAAGAGGTAAAGAAGCAGCCTGAGATTCAAAGTGGTCTTTGGTTTAGCAAATCGAGCAAAGACAGGCGACCTAAAACAACCAGTCCAATGCCAGACCGCAGTCTCTTCAGTAAGGTCCCCTGTAAGAAAAAGAGCTCATCTGTTATTAGTAAAAAGACACCAGCTTCTTGTGCCTCCTCCTCTGTCAGTGCCGCCGCCAACGAGCAGTCAGGATTGTCGGACAAGCAGAAGACCACTGAAACAAATCTGCCTCCTGAACAGTCAGGAAATCTAAAGTGTAAAAACACTGTTGCTGCTAATGGGCACTTTGGTACAGCTGGTGGTGTGGGTGAGCAGAAGTCTCTAGACTCTGAGGATAGTGGTTGTTCAAAGGGTAGAAAGTCAGTTGCCAGTTCAGTGGATACCATCAGTGGCACATGTGGCCAGTTAAGTCTTTCAGACATTAAGAAGTCCTTAGAGGCCACCGTGAAAGATAATTTGAGTGATCTATCCAGGTTTTCAGAGAGTGCAAAGATTGTCAGTCAAACTGAACATTCTGATGCGACATCTACTAAAAAACATTATACAACTGAAAACATTGCTGAGGAGGAAAAAGAGAGCAAAAATGCTTCAGCATCCTGTTTACAAGATAAAACTACGGACCCATTAGGGTGGCTAGAAACTCAAACGAGTCTGGTCTCTAAATGTAGGCTACCCTTTGTCAAATTAATACGCAAGGACATAAAAGATAAGAAGATCTCAAACTCCAATACAACTATTCATTCCAAAGACCAACCTGGAAGCACAAAGAAAGAGAGAAGATCAGATACTAACATGACTACATTGTCATCCAAACAATCAAACTGGATGGATGGTCAGGGAAGAGCCTCAAAAGACGAGGTAGTCGCCTCCAAAATAAAAGTCTCAGTTAAGAAATTAAAAGCACGCGGCAAGTCAAGTATGGTTAATTTCTCATCAGAATCATCACATGAGAATATCATGACCTCAAATGTTTCCACTGAGGAGTTGGGTAGCCCAGAAACAGAGGGGATACCAGTTTCAAATGGAAGTCTGAGTACTGTGAGTTACTCATCCTCGAACCAGTCAGATCAGTTTGAAGGTAAAAAGACACCCGACTCTAATGTAACAAGCAAGTCTTCTGAACAACTGGTCAGACCAGACCAAGCAACCACATCTGTCACATCACATAGAACGACCGTTCCACCTTCTCACCAGCGTGCAAGGTTAGCATGTAGAAGAGCTTATTTTCCAGGACGTCCTTCCTCTGAGAAAACCAAGAAAGTGGCCTATAAATTAAAGCGTGGCCTAGATGAAGTGAATAAAGTCATGCAAGAGCAGCCTGCCCACCTCCCGGCCAGCAGTCGGCTGATGACTAGAGCGCTGAAGGCCATGCAAGAGGCTGAGGAAAAAAAGCGTGAAAAAGTCAAAAAGGAGGCTGAACAGAAACAACCCTTGAATAATTTTAGAAAATCTGAGGACCTGAGCTGCAGTCCCAAGGCCAAATCGGACTTTTGCACTAGTAAAAAATCTCCAAAATCACATTCTAATGACAGTGTTGAGTATGCGCCTGACAGTTTTTCCAGTTGTAGCAGCCCCCATTTGATTTTTTCTGATTCCAATGACTATGACACAGATGTTAAGAGTGAAGATGAAGACCTCTCAATTCCCTCAACTCCACCGATGGACTTTATACCTCTTACTTCTAAAGCAAAGGCAAAGAAGGAGGATCGCTCCTCAGACGCATGGTTATCGCATTCACCGTCTTCGCCATTTTCTTTTATAAATGCCTTTAAAAATGTTGAAGAGGTCTCTTTTCAGTCCGTGACAAATGTAAGCAATGGTAAACCCGTTTCTTTCAAGCCGGACACCAACTACAAGTTTAGCACCTTCCTTATGATGCTGAAGGACTTGCATGACACTAGAGAGCGAGACGGTGCGCCCTTAGAACTGGAGATTGGGCCACCAAGTGCACATGTTAAGGAAGAGCCTTTAGTGATGCCAGGGGAGGCTACACCTGCAGGACAAGATCAACAATTAGATTTTGTTCATAGCATCTCAAACTCAAGTCCAGATAAAACCATAGTCGCACATAATGAGGAAGGTCCGTATCAGATGTCCAAGAGGCCCTACAACAGACGGGGTAGCTCATCCAGGTGGAAAAAGAAAGCCAATCGCAAAGTGCCTTGTCGTCGCGCCAGGTCTGGGCCTGGTTTCCCAGGACTTGAGTCAGGAATGTCGTCCATGCCAGCAAAGGACTCTTCATCAACAGAAGATTGCTCATCAAAAATGCCGGGCATATGGGAGCAGCCTGGAGGTGGTGAAGGAGCAGTCGTGGTGACAGAGGAGGACAGTTGGAGCAGAGTAAAGGAGAATCTACAGATCATGGTGCCTTTGGAGCAGAAGGGTCGTGACATTGCACTGTCTTTGGAAAAGCCTAATGGGCTTGTGGACTGCACTAAGAAGAAGGCGAGCTTGACGCACAACACTGGAGAAGGTGACAAGGATCCGACAGGTAAGGAGAATTTAGTGTAGAGACCCCCACAGAGAGACTAAGCTGATTGGTGTAATGTAGAAGAAAGATAATGAAAAAAACTGAATAGAAGCCAGGGAGGCAAGGGAGAGCTAAAAGCAATTGGTTTTTAAAGAGGTTTTTGTGTGTCTCAAGTGCTCCACTAGCACCGGCTTTTTCAAGTGTATAAATGCATTCATATTAGTGTGTTTACATAAACTGCTAGAACAAGCAGAATGGTCAAAAGGTTAAGAGTAAAACCCTGAACTCTTCTCTCCCTCAGTGGTTGCCATCTTGGCTTAGTAGCAGAAACATAAGGATAATTTCAGCCAGTTGAAGGCTACATCATCAGTGTTAATTTTGATTAATGACAATTAATGACAGTCACACCATGTTTAAAGGCCATTTCTCCATCTCTTGTTTATTTTTTAGAATTTTGTTTTATTTGTTGTTATAAATGCCAGTACAGATAAACCGGCTAATCGCTAAAATCCTCAATGCAAATAACCAAAATATAGATGATGTTTGTCATGTCTTTGCTGTTTTTTTTGTTTGTTTGGGGGGGTTGTTGTTGTAAAGGTTGTGTCGATCGGATTAGCTTCGTAACCATGTGTACTCGTTACCCTTTGATTACTCAATTACAGAAGTACCTCATTTTGTTTAGATTAAATATTAAGCACACTGGCAAATACCTCCTTAAAAAAATAAATACTTCAGCCATTTTCAACTGCAAATTGCTAAACGTGGCCAATATCAGTTTTATACAATACGATTACGTCAAGTAAAACAACACTGTAACTAAAACCTGCCATAAATGTTGCCATGAGACAGTCAGACTGATATCAGTGTGTGAGGCAATTACATGCAGACGGTTTCTGATACAACAATTAACTGTGATAAATCACACATCTGTCACTCACTACATAGGTAGGAATTTCTGTTTATTACATTTGTTCTCAGCAATAATCAGAATACATCCAGTTCATTTGAGTCCCCTCAAGTTGTGCTGATTGGGAAAGACTCCTTCAGACTGATGGCAACATGTTGGCAATGTGTCTGCTTTTATAAAGTAGATGGTGAGTCAGTCCAAATTGGATTGTGACTGTTTGCAGAAAAGTTGCCTCCCATCGGGCAACCTGTGCAATCGCCTTGTGATTAGAAGTGGCCATTGGTGTGCAACAGCCTTAACGCTGGGACAACCATTTAGTCGCCACTAGTTGCAATTAGTTACAGAATATGAAAAAATTTCAATAAAAAAAAAATCAGTACAATTATCAGGCAGCTGGAGATGATAATCTTATTTATTTGGTTATTTGTTATGATACATGGATACATGCTGTCCTATTTTTACTTGCACAACTGAGCCATTAGCTTTCACTGAATTAGGGGGTTGTTTTGTCAAGCTGAGTCTTGGTTGATTTTTTTTTTAGGTTGAGCCAATTCACAAGTTTGGTCGGCTAACATTATCTGCATGTGATGAGCCCTCTTGTTCGTAGTATTCCCAGCAGGGGCGAGTCTACAGAGGGGGAGACAAGGGAGGGCAACTGCCCTCCCTGCTGTAGTGCCTTGCCCCCCTAGCTTTTGTTAACTCCATTTACACATAGGGGATTTTCAAATACTTCACTAAAGAGTGAAGTATTTGAAAATACTTACGCCTCTTTTGTGTCCCTGTAATGGTACAGTATCATCACGCAAAATATCGTGATGCTTTTCTGCATCTGTTGTTTTATTTTTCCCCAACCCTAGTTTATACAATAATGTGTATGAAATGAAAAATCTGTGTTTCTGAATAGTAAATCCTTTAACCACAGGTGTAAATCTGTGTGCACATTAAACTGCAGGTATAAAAGTAACAGTACTTTAAACTGTTAGGTTCAGTTCTGAATTCTGACTTGCCATTGAGGAATTAAAAAAAATATATAGCAGTCTGTTTCTGCTCATGTAATGGGTAGACTACTAACATAGTTAGTCTACCAGTTGTACAAATACTAGTGCTCTCAGTGTTAATGTCGTTAAAATGACGTTGACGCCATAACCGCATTAACACGGCAAATCTCCGTTAGTGAGTTAGCGCGAATCGCCCCGTGCGTGGGGCTGCACGGTGTCAATGCATTAGCGCGGTTAGCTCGTTAACGTGTTAGCGCAGTCCAGCCACACACACGAGGTGATCCGTTAACGACATTAACGCTGACAGCACTAACAAATACTGATGCTATCAAAGGGCTAAATAGGTCAAAAATAAATGTATATCTATAATCTTTTTAAAAATAAAATAAAATTTGTCCCCTTAGCACATAAACGAATAAGAAAACCAAGCAAGAGGATGATTGAATGGACTGAAGAGTACGACCAGATTTTCTCCGTGAGGAAGAAAACGAGAAAGCCTCTCCAGTTGATTGGAAAGGTAAAAATCACACAAAGTAAGCTCTTTTGTAAGTACACATTATTATATGAGCATAACAGTTTAGTATTAACCAGCCAGTGTAACTTTATACTGCTTCACACAACTCATGCAATCTGCTCTCTCAGGCCTCTCAACCCATTACCTCCATATCTGAACCCTCGGAGTGTGACAAGAGCATGCAAGTCCAGCCATCCTTGAACTTACTTCCCGAAATACAGACACCACCCCCTGAGGAAATCTGTGCAACGACGCCCTCTGACCTACAAATTCCCTGCACTGAAAACACACCTTCACAAGATGCACCTGTTCTTTCCATCGACACGTTAACCCCTCCTCCTGAAGCAGAACCTTCGCTACCAGAAAGCATCGTCAAAGACAATGGTAGGACTGTTTTTGTGTGCTTTTCTTTCTGAGGACACAAGTTCAGGTCAAGTCTCTGTGTAGACTGTGGTTGAAATATTATACGGTTAACTTTAAGATTTTCCTGCATTGGCGCTAAGAAGCCTGAACCATGACCAGAAATATGCAGATGTGTTGTAGACAGCGTTGTGGCCATAGGCACGGGTATCGACGTGCTCCTCTGCCATTTCAGTACTCATACCTTTCACACAGGGTCAACTTATACATGAACTCTTTTAATAAGTGCTGCTGAAGGTTCTACAAGTTAAAAGGTTCTTTCACTTGATAAGGGCAAGGCTTTTAAACTTCTCATTAGTGGTCATGATTGCCTTCAAATGGTAGTTTCTATTTGCCAGCATAAAAATAAATGTTTGACATCAGACAGAAAAGTCCTAGGAACTCAGTGAAGCTGTAAGAAGGATAATTGTAGATTTATAGAAGCTGTGGAGATCTATTGGAGTCCTTTCAAAACAACTGCAGATTCCATCATCAGTTCAAACAATTGTACATAAGTACACCTTATTTGGTTAAGTCACCACTTTGGATCTTCTGCTAGACCTTGTCAAACTGTCAGCCTCAGATGAGAGGAAGTTGGTTAGGACGTTCAGGAACAACCTAGGAACCATCAAAGGCTCAAGGCTGCTGTGAACTGGCAACTGGTGGAACACCAGTGTCGCTGTTCACAGTGAAGCCAATTTTACATCGACACGGAGTGAGAGGATGCCGATCAAGAAAGAAGACCGTGCTCCAAAATCAACGCCTTCAAGCTCAACTGAAATTTGCAGCTGCCCAGGTGAACAAGCCAAATGCTTTTTGGAGGACAGTTTAAAGGTCAAAGACAAAGATTGAGCTGTTTGGCCTCTAGACAAGAGGCATGTATGGAGGATTAAATGTGGAGCTGTCAAACCACATAAGAACACAGTACCAACTGGTGCATGCATGGTGGCGGTATCATTGTGCTCTGGGGCGATTTTGCTGCCTGTAGTACATTGCACAAAGTGGATGGAATAATGAAGGAGGAGGACTTCGTCTTCACCATCAACAGCTAGACGCTTGAACACACTTGGACACAGTTGGGTGTTCCAACAGGACAATAAACCCAAACACACATAAAAACTGGTTTTAAATGGATAAAGAAGGCTAACATTAGGCTTCTGGAATAGCGTTCTGAAAGTCCCGCCCTCAACCATGTTGAAAATTTGTGGACTTAAACAAATATTAGTGGAGACGTATTTATATATTTGACCCTGTGTGGATTAAAGAAAATTAAAAATAAATTCAAAGCCCAAAATTACCGCGACATTCATGCCGCTGATAAGCAGTAATAAACCTGTAAGCACAACTGCACTTAAAGAAAGGCAAACAGAAATGATACAAGAACTGGAACATGACAGGAATTCCCAAGAATTTGTAAGAATGAAGTTTGTGTTTTGTTTTAACAGGTTACAGTTCAGCGTGCAGTAAGTTAAGTGCTTAAAGTAAATACTGTCAGTAACACTGTAAAATGAGACCAGCTTAAGATGACTGGTTAAACAGGAGCTTTAACCAAATGAAGAGTAAATATTGTATTAAGCTTTATTCTTGTGCCAGTGATCTCATTACTGTAAACTATCAGTTATTATTAATAAAGCACTAGTTATTCACATATTTACACATACACAAGTATTTTAAGCACTTCCTGTCGAGCACACATAGATACAGTCAGAAGAAATGTGGGTTCATGCAGACCAGGGGAATAAACCACTGATGACCTAACATACCTCCTGAGCCACACATAGCTGCTGCAAATGGCTTTTTAATGTAGGAAAAACCTTGAGAGTATTCCACAGAGAACCAGTCACTTTCTGTTTTGTAGCAGGCTGATAATAGTCAGTTTTTATCATCACTTATGTTATTTGGTTAGTATCCACTGCTCCTACAAATGTGTGACGGAGCAAACAAAGTCTAATGCAGGCTGTCAGTGTTTCCACACATGGACTTAAAAATTTTCTAAAGCCACATAAAACTTTGATTTACGGGTGTGTTGAAAACTTGTGATGGTTAATGCTAATCTGGCTGTGACACTTGTTTTTCCAGGAAGCGCTCCTGTGCTGGAGAAGAAGCGCAAAAGAAAACCCACTCAGAAGATCCTGGAATACTGCCTGGAGGCCGAGGCATCAACAGGCCTCAAGAAGAAGGTACAGCATGTTTAATGAGTGTACATTTATTCGTTTGGTGTAATGTATTTGTACTGTGATGTGCCAGCTTATAAGATAGAGCTGTACATTTTATTTAGCGCAAAAAAATCCATTTACCTTCATAAAAGCATTACATCAGATTAGATTTTACTGAGTTAGCAATTATAATTAGAAAGAAAATCTTAGTTTCCTCCTATAGTATCAGTAGTACAGTGCCATGAAAAAGTATTTGCACATTTGTCATACTTAAATGTTTCAGATCATCAAGCAGATTTTAATATTAGACAAAGATTGACATCTGTCAGTCTGGAAAGGATTACAGAGATATTTCCAAGGCTTTGGGACTCTGGCAAACCACAGTGAGAGCCACAGATGAAGGAAACTTGGAACAGTAATGAACCTTCCCGGAGGTGGTCTACCAAGACACTAATGACTCCCCACGGATGTCACAAAAGAACCTGGAACATCATCTAAGGAACTGCGGGACTAACTTGGCTCAGTTAACCCTTTAAAGCCGGTCGGAGCGGGCACGCTCCGTTTTGCCTATTTTTAAATCCCTGTAGAACCGGAACCGTGTAAGCTAGCGCAATAATTTTTTTTGCATATGAAACCGGAGGAGTTGTACTTACATCTTATGCCATCAGCTTGTCCTAGGTCACGGTTTCCTAGGGCTGCTCAATTAATCGAATTTTAATCACGATTAC